ATCAATTTTTAGTTTCCTTTTAACTTATTTTAAACAGTTCACACATTATTACTTTTGTAGTGCACGGTGCAATCTCAATCGGCAATAATCAGTTAAGTAAGTGATGTTTGAAGAACAAGTAAAGTATCATCTGTCATTGTACACACTGAATAGGGTTATCGCTCCTTCTGAATATTTATTTTGACACACGAATTATTTTCATAATTAACATTGTAATATGTTAAAATGAAAATCATAGCAGAAAAAGTGTCTTTTGTCAACTGGACTCATGGCAAAACGATAGTGCGTTGTGCAGCAAACACCACTATGAAACGTGAAATAAACATCTTGATCTAGAGTTCGCCAAGCCACGCATTGACTGAGCAATTTTGCAAAAGTACACTGACGTGTTTCATATTATGCGGTTTATTTACGATAGAAAACTTCTGTCATTGAATGTACTGTCACATTGTACCTATATGCCGACCAGGTTATGATAAAACAATCTATTTCTGAAATACGTATCTCGAAATGCACCTTTCGATTCACTTCCGGGATCCTGACAGCAAAATGCTAATTCCAGTGTATAACAGGCATATTTTAGTTGGACCTCATGATTTAATGTGAAATATCTTCTGTATTATATACAGAGGATACCATTTTTTGTTTGTTTGAAATGTCCATCAGTGAAATGCACAACATGCTGTCTATTCCCTATGAGCTGATGCGACTCTCACTGCATGGAGCTATGCTCTCTAAGCCTCGTTTTTGATCCAAGATGTCGTAAGTGTGAAAAAGGTCAATAGCAAGGATCAAAGCCAAAGTCAGGTTATGTCATGGGTCGGTGCCAAATTCATTTTATATCATGGGTCGGGGCCAAAGTCAGGTTATATCATGGGTCAAAGCCAAAGTCAGGTTATATCATGGGTCAGAGCCAAAGTCAGGTTATCATGGGTTGGGGTCAAAGTCAGGTTATATCAAGGATCAAAGCCAAATTCAGGTGATATCATGGGTCGGGGCCAAAGTCAGGTTATATTAAGGATCAAAGCCAAAGTCAGGTTATGTCATGGGTCACAGCCAAAGTCGGTTTATATCATGTGTCAGGGCCAAAGTCAGGTTATATCATTGGTCGGGGTCAAAGTCAGGTTGTATCCTGGGTCAGGGTCAAAGTCAGGTTATATCATGGGTCAGAGCCAAAGTCAGGTTATATCATGGATCAGAGCCAAAGTCAGGTTATATCAAGGGTCAGGGTCAAAGTCAGGTTATATCATGGGTCCGGGTCAAAGTCAGGTTATAGCAAGGATCAAAGCCAAAGTCAGGTTATATCATGGGTCGGGGCCAAAGTCAGGTTATATCATGGGTCAGAGCCAAAGCCAGGTTATATCCTGGGTCGGCATCAAAGTCAGGTTATATCATGGGTCAGAGCCAAAGTTAGGTTATATCAGGGGTCGGCATTAAAGTCAGGTTATATCATGGGTCGGGGTCAAAGTCAAGTTATATTCTGGGTCGGGGCCAAAGTCAGGTTATATCATGGGACGGAGTCAAGGTCGGGTTATATTATGGGTCAGAGCCAAAGTCGGGTTATATCATGGGTCAGATCCAATATCAGGTTATATCATGGGTCAGAGCCAAAATCAGGCTATATCATGGGTCAGAGCCAAAGTCGGGTTATATCATGGGTCATGGACTCATGGCAAAACGATAGTGCGTTGTGCAGCAAACACCACTATGACACGTGAAATATACATCTTGATCTAGAGTTCGCCAAGCCACGCATTGACTGAGCAATTTTGCAAAAGTACACTGACGTGTTTCATATTATGCGGTTTATTTACGATAGAAAACTTCTGTCATTGAATGTACTGTCACATTGTACCTATATGCCGACGAGGTTATGATAAAACAATCTATTTCTGAAATACGTATCTCGAAATGCACCTTTCGATTCACTTCCGGGATCCTGACAGCAAAATGCTAATTCCAGTGTATAACAGGCATATTTTAGTTGGACCTCATGATTTAATGTGAAATATCTTCTGTATTATATACAGAGGATACCATTTTTTGTTTGTTTGAAATGTCCATCAGTGAAATGCACAACATGCTGTCTATTCCCTATGAGCTGATGCGACTCTCACTGCATGGAGCTATGCTCTCCAAGCCTCGTTTTCGATCCAAAATGGCGAAAGTGTGAAAAAGGTCAATAGCAAGGATCAAAGCCAAAGTCAGGTTATGTCATGGGTCGGTGCCAAAGTCATTTTATATCATGGGTCGGGGCCAAAGTCAGGTTATATCATGGGTCAAAGCCAAAGTCAGGTTATATCATGGGTCGGGGCCAAAGTCAGGTTATATCCTGGGTCAGAGCCAAGGTCAGGTTATATCCTGGGTCGGCATCAAAGTCAGCTGATATCATGGGTCGGAGTCAAAGTCAGGTTATATCATGGGTCGGGGTCAAAGTCAGTTTATATCAAGGATCAAAGCCAAAGTCGGGCTATATCATGGGTCGGGGCCAAAGTCAGGTTATATCCTGGGTCAGAGCCAAAATCAGGTTATATCCTGGGTCGGCATCAAAGTCAGCTGATATCATGGGTCGGGGTCAAAGTCAGGTTATATCATGGGTCGGGGTCAAAGTCAGTTTATATCAAGGATCAAAGCCAAAGTCGGGCTATATCATGGGTCGGGGCCAAAGTCAGGTTATATCCTGGGTCAGAGCCAAAATCAGGTTATATCCTGGGTCGGCATCAAAGTCAGCTGATATCATGGGTCGGGGTCAAAGTCAGGTTATATCATGGGTCGGGGTCAAAGTCAGTTTATATCAAGGATCAAAGCCAAAGTCGGGCTATATCATGGGTCGGGGCCAAAGTCAGGTTATATCCTGGGTCAGAGCCAAAGTCAGGTTATATCCTGGGTCAGAGCCAAAGTCAGGTTATTTCATGGGTCGGCATCAAAGTCAGGTTATATCCTGGGTCAGAGCCACAGGGTGAGACACATTGAGCTGGAGGTGAACAGTTGCCTGCATCTGACACTAAGAGTAACCTACATCTGACATGAAATTGTCTTCCTAAGGTCTGTTTAGTCAGACGTAGTATTGAGAGTTAGGTTGTCGCTTATTGACTGTTACGCACCTGTCCATCTTTTTTTTCTTTGAGGAGATATTCCTCTGTTCACATCTAATCTGTAATTCTAACCTTTAACCCACGAAAACAATTTCTGAAGTACGTGTATTTGTGGTAACGGGTTTTAGAAGTCGTTTTACTGCTATAACTAGTTACCTCAGCCTAACACTTCAGTGGCTATAAGCCACCAACACTATAGCAAGGCTGAGTTGCGAGGAGTCTGGACCATGCTAACAGACTGCCAACGGATATTTTACCCTATTTTTTCAACGGCACTGAACATATGACAGATAATAATAAAAGTATGTGTTACCTATCCTCAATGTTTGTAAAAAGGATTTCTCCATAAAAATAGTTAAATATGCTGAACCGCAAAAGAAACATCACCCCAAGTAATATTGCATGAAAAGTTGTCGTTTAAATATCTGGGTATTTTCTGGCAAAATTTAACATCACCTTGTCCGGAAAAATGAAATTTGATTACAAAAAACCCAAAGCAGATGACAATAAAACCGATCGCCCAAACGCATCACGGCAAAGGCCATGGTAACCCGATACACGTGAGCTCCGTGCAAGTTGAAATGCACACGCGTTCCCCCATTTCTTGCCTTATAAAAATTCACCCAGATCGGATAACATTCATTCGTTATTGAATTGACACCAAGCCCTTGGACGATTTCAAGCTGGACAAACCACCCGGCAAGTAGCCAATGCACGTAGTCCACGACCTGCATAACTGCCCGCTTATATAACGCTGACACGCAAAATTACAATCGAAAAATGTCCCAAGCGGCTCCAACCTCAAATCATTCATACTCATCGTGGTTACATATCCCCAAGATGCTGATTTTACAACCAGGAACATGTGCCAGAAACATGTGTCTAGTTAATCTTTTATATTGCGGTCGTGGGTGTCCTAACCCTAATCCTTACCCGTGATTTCTCAGAACATTTGCTTTGCCTTTGCACGTGTTTGTGATGGGTGTCACCGTTGGGGCAGGATACGCTCACCTTTTCCCGAACACCTGGTATCATGACTATTCGATAGTGATTTATAAACACATGTTCATGATATAGTCCGAGTTGTACAATCGACTCTGCTTCTGGCGGAGATTTCTTATGATTATGGTTAGGGTCTGTCGCTGTTATTTTGGAATACCGTGAATCAGCTCACTGTCTTTGGCATATGTTGTTTGAAAACAAAGGTCAATGTAAATTGTTTGATCCTCTTTATCTTCAATAATATAAATACCCTGGAAAGAAAGAACCCAATCCTCCAACAGTAAGTCCCCCATATCAGGGTATTCTAGACTTTCAACAACACAGCTTTGATTCAGTCATTCTGACAGCTGGATACCCATTCACAGTAAGTCCCCCATATCAGGGTATTCTAGACTTTCAACAACACAACTTTGATTCAGTCATTGGACAGCTGGAATACGACGCACACCGTATCACTTCCCTTTACCCAACGCATTCGGATTAACAGCGCTTCATTTCAGCTCAACGATACATATGTGATAAGAGGAAGTTCCCTGAGGTGGGCTCCGATATATTTCGCAGTTGGTTACATGAGTGGGCAACATGGAAAATAACTGGCCGCTCCTCAACCAATCAGAAGCTAGAATTTGAATGTAATGTGAAAGGCTGAGGTAGGTAGTGGGGCCGAGGAACAATGTGTGAAGCCTGTCTTACAACATTTCTAAAGGCGATGAATTGGATATGGACTCAAAGCGTTATAAATTCTATAACTATGGAATACAAACATTAATTCTATTCTACTTCCAAAGCGAAGCATATTTTCCTATGAAAGACCCGAGTGAACTAACGATGTTATGTCGGGTCCCCCAATGGATTGGCGGAAGCGCAAGGTAGGAATTAAAGCTAACACAGAAGCCATCTCACCGTCGTCCATTGTCAGGGTGTCTTCTATGCAGTAACAGCAGTCAGCGTAGGGCACCTGTAAGCAGATATACAGTAAACTATGTATATAACCATCACGTTTATAACGAACTGACGGATATAACTAACTATTTCCTTTTTTGTATATATGTTATACAAAAGCTTACAACAAACTGCGGTTATAACGAATTAATATGAGTGGTCCCTATGAGTTCATTATAACCGAAGTTTACTGTATATATGTTTACATTCTGGTTATCAAATATTGGTCATACTTTCACTTCTGATTTCATCAAATGTAAAATTAATCTCTGCATTATTTGAATTCTCGTAGAAAATGTCGGAGAGGAAGCGCATTCCTCGACATAATGCGCAACTGACGACGTGAAGGTCCCGCTAACCATGACATCCTGTCTAACTGTCTACTGCCGCAGTGAAGGTTCATCAAACCATGACATTCTGTCTAACTGTCTACTGTCGCAGTGAAGGTCCCGCTAACCATCACATCATGTCTGTCTACTGTCGAAGTGAAGGTCCCGCTAACCTTCACATCATGTCTAACTGTCTACTGTCGAAGTGAAGGTCCCGCTAACCATGACCCATGTCTAACTGTCTACTGTCGCAGTGAAGGTCCCGCTAACCATCACATCCTATCTTGTCTACTGTCGCAGTGAAGGTCCCGCTAACCATGACATCCCATCTAACTGTCTACTGTCGAAGTGAAAGTCCTGCTAACCATGACCCCATGTCTAACTGTCTATTGCCGCAGTGAAGGTCCCGATATCCATGACATCCTTTCTTGTCTGCTGTCGAAGTGAAGGTCCCGCTAACTATGACATCTTGTCTAACTGTCTACTGTCGAAGTGAAGGTCCCGCTTACCATCACATCATGTCTGTCTACTGTCGCAGTGAAGGTCCCGCTAACCATGTTATCCCATCTAACTGTCTACTGTCGCAGTGAGGTCCCGCTAACTATGACACCATATCTAACTGTCTACTATCGCAGTGAAGGTCCCGATAACTATGACATCCCATCTAACTGTCTACTGTCGCAGAGGGGGTCCCGCTAACTATGACATCCCATCTAACTGTCTACTATCGAAGTGAAGGTCCTGCTAACCATGACATCATGTCTGTCTACTGTCGAAGTGAAGGTCCCGCTAACCATCACATCATGTCCGTCTACTGTCGCAGTGAAGGTCCCGCTAACCATCACATCATGTCTGTCTACTGTCGCGGTGAAGGTCCCGCTAACCATCACATCATGTCTGTCTACTGTCGCAGTGAAGGTCCCGCTAACCATCACATCATGTCTGTCTATTGTCGCAGTGAAGGTCCCGCTAACCATCACATCATGTCTGTCTACTGTCGCAGTGAAGGTTCCGCTAACCATCACATCATGTCTGTCTATTGTCGCAGTGAAGGTCCCGCTAACCATCACATCATGTCTGTCTACTGTCGCAGTGATGGTCCCGCTAACCATCACATCATGTCTGTCTATTGTCGCAGTGAAGGTCCCGATATCCATCACATCCTATCTTGTCTGCTGTCGAAGTGAAGGTCCCGCTAACCATCACATCATGTCTGTCTACTGTCGCAGTGAAGGTTCCGCTAACCATCACATGTCTGTCTATTGTCGCAGTGAAGGTTCAGCTAACCATCACATCATGTCTAACTGTCTACTGTCGAAGTGAAGGTCCCGCTAACCATCACATCCTATCTTGTCTACTGTCGAAGTGAAGGTCCCGCTAACCATGACATCCCATTTAACTGTCTACTGTCGAAGTGAAAGTCCTGCTAACCATGACCCCATGTCTAACTGTCTATTGCCGCAGTGAAGGTCCCGATATCCATGACATCCTTTCTTGTCTACTGTCGAAGTGAAGGTCCCGCTTACCATCACATCATGTCTGTCTACTGTCGCAGTGAAGGTCCCGCTAACCATGTTATCCCATCTAACTGTCTACTGTCGCAGTGAGGTCCCGCTAACTATGACACCATATCTAACTGTCTACTGTCGCAGTGAAGGTCCCGCTAACTATGACATCCCATCTAACTGTCTACTGTCGCAGTGAGGTCCCGCTAACTATGACATCCCATCTAACTGTCTACTGTCGCAGTGAAGGTCCCGCTAACCATGACATCCCATCTAACTGTCTACTGTCGCAGTGAGGTCCCGCTAACTATGACATCCCATCTAACTGTCTACTATCGAAGTGAAGGTCCCGCTAACCATGACATCATGTCTGTCTACTGTCGAAGTGAAGGTTCCGCTAACCATCACATCATGTCTGTCTACTGTCGCAGTGAAGGTCCCGCTAACCATCACATCATGTCTGTCTATTGTCGCAGTGAAGGTCCCGCTAACCATCACATCATGTCTGTCTACTGTCGCAGTGAAGGTCCCGCTAACCATCACATCATGTCTGTCTACTGTCGCAGTGAAGGTCCCGGTAACCATCACATCATGTCTGTCTACTGTCGAAGTGAAGGTTCCGCTAACCATCACATCATGTCTAACTGTCTACTGTCAAAGTTAAGGTCCCGCTAACCATCACATCATGTCTGTCTATTGTCGCAGTGAAGGTCCCGCTAACCATCACATCATGTCTGTCTACTGTCGCAGTGAAGGTTCCGCTAACCATCACATGTCTGTCTACTGTCGAAGTGAAGGTCCCGCTAACCATCACATCATGTCTGTCTACTGTCGAAGTGAAGGTCCCGCTAACCATCACATCATGTCTGTCTATTGTCGCAGTGAAGGTCCCGATATCCATGATATCCTATCTTGTCTGCTGTCGAAGTGATGGTCCCGCTAACCATGACATCATGTATAACTTTCTACTGTCTCAGTGAAGGTCCCGCTAACCATCACATCATGTCTGTCTATTGTCGCAGTGAAGGTCCCGATATCCATGATATCCTATCTTGTCTGCCGTCGAAGTGATGGTCCCGCTAACCATGACACATGTCTAACTGTCTACTGTCGCAGTGAAGGTCCCGCTAACCATGACATCCCATTTAACTGTCTACTGTCGAAGTGAAAGTCCTGCTAACCATGACCCCATGTCTAACTGTCTATTGCCGCAGTGAAGGTCCCGATATCCATGACATCCTTTCTTGTCTGCTGTCGAAGTGAAGGTCCCGCTAACTATGACATCATGTCTAACTGTCTACTGTCGCAGTGAAGGTCCCGCTAACCATGTTATCCCATCTAACTGTCTACTGTCGCAGTGAGGTCCCGCTAACTATGACATCCCATCTAACTGTCTACTGTCGCAGTGAAGGTCCCGCTAACCATGACATCCCATCTAACTGTCTACTGTCGCAGTGAAGGTCCCGCTAACTATGACATCCCATCTAACTGTCTACTGTCGAAGTGAAGGTTCCGCTTACCATCACATCATGTCTGTCTACTGTCGCAGTGAAGGTCCCGCTAACCATCACATCATGTCTGTCTATTGTCGCAGTGAAGGTCCCGCTAACCATCACATGTCTGTCTACTGTCGAAGTGAAGGTCCCGCTAACCATCACATCATGTCTGTCTACTGTCGAAGTGAAGGTCCCGCTAACCATCACATCATGTCTGTCTATTGTCGCAGTGAAGGTCCCGATATCCATGATATCCTATCTTGTCTGCTGTCGAAGTGATGGTCCCGCTAACCATGACATCATGTATAACTTTCTACTGTCGCAGGGAAGGTCCCGCTAACCATCACATCATGTCTGTCTTTTGTCGCAGTGAAGGTCCCGCTAACCATCACATCATGTCTGTCTACTGTCGAAGTGAAGGTCCCGCTAACCATCACATCATGTCTGTCTATTGTCGCAGTGAAGGTCCCGATATCCATGACATCCTATCTTGTCTGCTGTCGAAGTGATGGTCCCGCTAACCATCACATCATGTCTGTCTACTGTCGAAGTGAAGGTCCCGATATCCATGACATCCTATCTTGTCTGCTGTCGAAGTAATGGTCCTGCTTACCATGACATCATTTATAACTTTCTACTGTCTCAGTGAAGGTCCCGCTAACCATGACATCATGTCTAACTGTCTACTGTCGCAGTGAAAGGTCCCGCTAACTATGACATCCTGTCTAACTCTTTACTATCACTGTGAAGAACCTTTTTCCCCGTTCGGGCGGTCGGGTAGCCTAGTGGTTAAAGCGTTCGCTAGTCACGCCGAAAATTCGGGTTCTATTCTCGACATGAGAACAATGTGTGAAGTTCATTTCTGGTGTCCCACGCCGTGAAAGTGCTTGAATATTGCTAAATGCGGCTTAAAATCAAACTCACCCACTCACTTTATTCCCTGTCTAGCGCCACACTCAATTTACCTTATCTCGCATGAGAATACTATTTACAATTCGTCAGATACACATAAGAAAAAAATTGCAATAAATACATCAATATTCTTCACATAAGAAAAACTAATCATGACAATATTTAAGAAAGACTCATGAAGATAATTATCTTACGATCATAGACACAATTTAAGAGTACACATGAATTGATACAAGGCTCGACAAAATATTCACAACCTCCTAGGGGGGCACGGGTGGCCCAGTCGTCTAAGGCGCCGCGATTCGCTGTGCAGAGTTGCGTCCCTTGGGCACGCCAGAAACCTATGATTGTGGGTTCGAATCCCGGTTCGCCCCGATTATGTTTCTAGGTTTGTCAGCACAATACCCGTGCTCGTGGGTTTCACCGAAGTGGTAAACGTCTGAGACCTGCATCACTTCGGGCTTTCCTCCCACATTAAGCTGACACGCCGTGATATAACTGGAATACTGTTAAAAGCGGCGTTAAACCCAACTCACTCACTCACTCACTCACAACCTCCTAGCACATATACATACAGATGCGCGCGCACACTCACTCACACACACACACATACATACATAGATACATACATTATATGGAAATATATACAAGATACAAGATATTTTCCAAGGATCACTACCTTGCTCACCGAGTCCGTCTGGGTCGTCCGGCTTTGTGCTGTGGTTGCTCGCTCCCTCACATTTTTATGGGAGAGCAGAAGGAAGTCCCAAGCTAAATATAGAACTCAGTAACGTTTGATTTCCCTCGAATATGCGCAGCACTATAGCGAGACAGTCGGTATATCTGTTTTCCTTTCGTTTGGGAATCCATCTTATCATAAGTTAAAACACATCTCTGACGTCATTCTATTGTTTGAACGCTCCATTATTTTTCAAGAATGGAGAGTTGCTTGTCAACTGTACATTATCTTGAAGCAGCATTTGAATTTTTCAAATATTTTCAACTACAGAATATTTTGTCAAAGTGTAAAAGTAGGGATGAGTTTTAAGTAGGGGAATATCCTCGTAACTCTCCATTCCTTAAAAATAATGGGCCTCGGCCCCTGTGGGGCCTCTGCTCCATTATTTTTAAGGAATGGAGAGTTACGCGGTCATTCCCCTCTACATAACGTCGATCATTTTGTGTAGTCATTGCTTCGAGCATGTAGCGGAACAACATTTCGCAATTCCATATCATCAGCTGGTTAATTAACTGCGAGTCAGAGACTACAGGCTGCAGTTCAGAGAAAATGTACATGTATGTCTCCTGCAAGGTATATGTATATCTGTTGAATGCATTATGGGGTTGTTTTTAGAAAATCAGGTTTTTGTCAGGTGTTACGTCCAAATATAATGTTCAGCGATGCCTCTTAAAACAATGAATTGCGGGTCAGAAGGTGTTTGGATTATAAACTGTATGTAAAAGTGATCGAAATATCTCATGGAAACGTTGGTGGATTCGTCGCTAGGAGGCGAGCAATGAAACTGCCCTAATTATTAACGGGTGTGGCCCGTCGTGTGATTCACAAGCCTGAACGTAGAAACAGTACCGATCAGCTACATGTCCTTGATGTCCTGTAACGATCAGCTACATGTCCTTGATGTCCTCTAACGATCTGCTACATGTCCTGGATGTCCTGTAACGATCAGCTACATGTCCTGGATGTCCTGTAACGATCAGCTACATGTCCTTGATGTCCCGTAACGATCAGCTACATGCTCTGGAGGTCCTGTAACGATCTGCTACATGTCCTTGATGTCCTGTGACGATCAGCTACATGTCCTTGATGTCCTGTAACGATTTGCTACATGTCCTTGATGTCCTGTAACGATCAGCTACATGTCCTGGATGTCCTGTATCGATCAGCTACATGTCCTTGATGTCCTGTAACGATCTGCTACATGTCCTTGATGTCCTGTAACGATCAGCTACATGTCCTTGATGTCCTGTAACGATTTGCTACATGTCCTTGATGTCCTGTAACGATCAGCTACATGTCCTTGATATCCTGTAACGATCTGCTACATGTCCTGTAACGATCAGCTACATGTCCTGGATTTCCTGTAACGATCTGCTACATGTCCTGGAGGTCCTGTAACGATCTGCTACATGTCCTGGATTTCCTGTAACGATCAGCTACATGTCCTGGAGGTCCTGTAACGATCAGCTACATGTCCTGGAGGTCCTGTAACTATCAGCTACATGTCCTGGAGGTCCTGTAACGATCAGCTACATGTCCTGGATTTCCTGTAACGATCTGCTACATGTCCTGGAGGTCCTGTAACGATCAGCTACATGTCCTGGATTTCCTGTAACGATCTGCTACATGTCTTAGATGCCCTGTACTGATTTGTGACTAAAATTAAGACTGGAAAAAGAACTATTCTTGAAACTGTCTGACAACATTATCTTACGTACGTCACAACTTTTATCTAATACAGTAGCCTCTTTCGTGACGGAGGTAACATAAGCTGAATGTTTCCCAATGACGTCATCGATTTTACAGGGAATTCCCTTGATCGAAAGTTTCCTCTTTTTTTCTAACGAAAACAATATGATCGCTATTGAAGATACATGTTGGTGTTATGATGCCACTTGTGATGCTGTGCACTCTTGATCAATGAAGGTGTGTCGCTGTTTTCCTATAGACAGACAAAGCAAGTAATGAAGACTAATATGTAGAATCTGAAAGGATGATGCCGAAGGAAAACTAAATAAGATAAAACATCCATGTGTACATAAGGAGCAATGACCACCAACTCGCCACACAGCACAAAGCCGATGTTGCTTTCAGGGAGCCACGTCACAGTGGCGGGACGTGACAGATATGTCACCAGTATGTCGTATTGTTGCGATATGTATTGGCTAACACATTTTACGACGTTAATGTCATTCAGTTTAATCACACACCTGAAACCTAAAGTTATTTCTTAACAACGATAACCGTGCACCAAAAGAAACAACGTTCAACTCCAACGCCAACGTTCAACTCCAACGACAACGTTCATCTCCAACGACAACGTTCAACTCCAACGACAACGTTCAACTCCAACGACAACGTTCAACTCCAACGACAACGTTCAACTCCAACAACAACGTTCAACTCCAACGACAACGTTCAACTCCAACAACAACGTTCAACTCCAACGACAACGTTCAACTCCAACGACAACGTTCAACTCCAACGACAACGTTCAACTCCAACAACAACGTTTAACTCAACTGGTCTAAGTGCTACACCGTGAAATGATTCAACTGATATTGTTTACGATATTATTTCAGACCGCAGCGTGAGATAACTATGCTATCCCGTGCTAGTGAACAGTCACAAGGATAAGTAAGAGCCAATGGACATTCGATGTATCGATGCTGATTTGATTTAACATAAGATAAGGTTACTGATACTGGGTATCTTGAAATAAAACAAATCTCCAAGAAAGTTCGCGGGTTGAAAATCAGTAATGTACATATCATCCTTGAAACTCACTCAGAAGAAATAACAATAGAACTAAATATCCTGCATGCATGTATGATTCATTGTTGTATTCTCCGGATGTCCTTGTGGAATCCTTCCACCTTGATCAATCTCCTGAAACTGTCACGGTGTCGGGTCTCACATCTGGCAAAGGGAAATCCTCCACCAGGAAGTGGCCTCATGGTAGAAACAGACAGATGGCATCAAACACTTTAAGTGACAAGGAACATATTATAATATGATAAAACAAGACGTGCTCATACACTCACACAGGACGCCCCGCAGCTGGGACTATGTTTAGAGCCAAATCGAAATTTGGAAAGTACTGTTATGTGAATCAACTCACCTAGATCGTAAACCCGACCCGTGAGGGACCGGCATAGAATAGGTCTTCAGCTACCCATGCTTGCCGTAACAGGCGATTATGTTTGTCGTAAGAGACGGCTAACGGGTTCGGGTGGTCAGGCTCGCTGACTTGGTTGATGCATGTCATCGTATCTCATTTGCGATGATCGATGCTCATGACACCTATCACTGGATTGTCTGGTCCAGACTCGATTATTTACAGACCGCCGTCATATAGCTGGATAATTGCAGAGTGCGGCGTTAACCAACAAACAAACAAGGTTGTAGACCGAACTAAAATCTAAAATAGTTTTGGCAAAACATTGAGGAAACGATTTCGTTTTCTTTTATCATTCCAAATAGAATATTCATTCATGGACTAAATGATTTTCAACAACATACCATCGAGTTGTACATAATCGACCAGGAGCTCACTCTAATAGTCGCTATATATTTCATACGTTGAACGCAAAGTCAAAGGGACGCCACTACCACTTTCCATATAACTGAACTGCCCTTGGCAAGGAAAGGACACATCTTTGCGATAGCCTGCAAATACATTGCTCGAGTTTCTACCGAAATAAACGAAGATGTGTTGTTCCATTTTGTATGAAATGATTCTAATCATCTGTTTTGGACTCGTTTTCAGACATAAGTCATAATCGGAAAATACCTTGTTTCAGCAGTGTTTGATAGAATCTGTGTTGTGGTCAGGAAGGATACTGTAGACGCATACTGTCGATTTGTTTTCTTCAACCTACCGTCTTTTGGCCGCAATTGTACCTGTGAGTGTCGTAAGCTCCTAGGACGGGTCTTAATACTTAAGACAGCTTAGCGCTACGACAGCTTCGAGAACAGACTTGGCTAAGATTGTTTCCGCAACAACACCTTTACACCAATATTAGCGCTAAGACAGCTTCGAGAACAGACTTGGCTAAGATTGTTTCCGCTACGACACCTTTACACCAATATTAGCGTTAAGACAGCTTCGAGAACAGACTTGGCTAAGATTGTTTCCGCTACGACACCTTTACACCAATATTAGCGCTAAGACAGCTTCGAGAACAGACTTGGCTAAGATTGTTTCCGCTACGACACCTTTACACCAATATTAGCGCTAAGACAGCTTCGAGAACAGACTTGGCTAAGATTGTTTCCGCTACGACACCTTTACACCAATATTAGCGCTAAGACAGCTTCGAGAACAGACTTGGCTAAGATTGTTTCCGCTACGACACCTTTACACCAATATTAGCGTTAAGACAGCTTCGAGAACAGACTTGGCTAAGATTGTTTCCGCTACGACACCTTTACACCAATATTAGCGCTAAGACAGCTTCGAGAACAGACTTGGCTAAGATTGTTTCCGCTACGACACCTTTACACCAATATTAGCGCTAAGACAGCTTCGAGAACAGACTTGGCTAAGATTGTTTCCGCTACGACACCTTTACACCAATATTAGCGTTAAGACAGCTTCGAGAACAGACTTGGCTAAGATTGTTTCCGCTACGACACCTTTACACCAATATTAGCGCTAAGACAGCTTCGAGAACAGACTTGGCTAAGATTGTTTCCGCTACGACACCTTTACACCAATATTAGCGCTAAGACAGCTTCGAGAACAGACTTGGCTAAGATTGTTTCCGCTACGACACCTTTACACCAATATTAGCGCTAAGACAGCTTCGTCAAGAGGCCGCAAGATGTCCTGTAACAATCAGCTACATGTCCTAGGTAAAAGACGTACAAAGCATATACAGAGTCAGCCACCCTGGAAGTATCAAGAACTGGTGGACATAAAATATAAAAAGTATAGCTCACTTCAATCACATAGAGACTTTAGGATGGGTATTAACATATCGCTCACTGCTTGAGAAGAAATTTATGGAGCTGAGAGGTACGTACAGAGT